CTGCACTCGGGTTCAAGTTGATTGCGTTTAACTGAACTGACGATATTAACTTTTTAATATTAGGTTTTACTAACCTACAGAACGTGATTACGGACGAAGCGGTCACCAAATCAGCCACATTATCCATAAACGCTAGGAAGAGCAAAATGCTTTTTTGGGTGGGTGGGTGGCATTCCTGACTCGGAGAAGGACACCTAGGGACTAATTGTTGCAAAGTTTGATAAGTAGCTTTTTTGATTACTCGGAGTATGGCGGCAGCCAAATGGGCTGAGAAATGGCGACATAGTATCCCAAGCTGATTTTCTTATTGGTTTACAAACCGCGCGTAGTGCCCATATATCCGACATGACATTTCCATTGCTACAAAGGTCCTGGTATAATTGGTATCCGTCCTATTATTTCTTCTACACAGTTGTAAATACCGCGCTGTGCGTATGTAAGACAGACGGAAATGGGAGGTATTTGACTACCGTTACCTAAATCACTCCCCCACCCGAATAAATTATATCATCAGTCCTCTCTGTAGCAACCTGGCAAGACTATCTTAGGCCAGCCAAGAAAGACTAGCATGGTTATTTAGACATTTTTTTCAAAGTCTATACGGATGTATGCGGTGCGACTATTTGCAGGTCTCTGCGACACTTTCTTATCAGTCAATTTTGCACAGAGGTACAGAGAAAATTGGAAAACTAGAGAATTCCAAAAGTTTTTGTAGTAAACGCAGTTAGCAACTTCCCCGATTTTTATGAATAATTAGCAACACAATCATTTTATGCAATTCGTTGTTTCGGCGGGCACTTAAGACACTTTCGTTTGACTTGGAACACTGGCTGTACCAGCATCACGACCAAGGTGGTTAATCTGATGTTGGTAACAATTCATGGATTTTAGTGCGGAGCAGGGTATGTGTAGTATAACGTTCATAACATCGTAAAACTTCTATCCACTACTGTGAGACAGTATCTCTCTGACGCCTCGTCATTTCCCTTTTAATGTTAGTAGGTCACATGAAAACGTTCTTACGGACTTCGCAAGGCCCTTTGCGAGAAGTTGGGATTCACGCGCGACAAAAGGTTACTGTGAGTGTAAGGAACATAAGGTTTCATCCCTTACACCATAACTTAGTGTATTCCATTGCTGAGGCATTTAATATTTATCTCTACACTCCATAAACACGCCTGTAAAAGCAGGTCAGCAAGTGAAGTAAACCAAAGTTACAGGTTTCTCAGAAAATACTACCATTAGACTGTTACAGTAGTAAATAGCTATCTCTGATGTACGAGCCAGAAGAGCGTTCATAGAAAACAAAACCATCTTACTTCGCAGGCTTCGCGTACCCTATATGGCAGTGGTAATAGCATATACAGAATACGAGATGCCCACAGGATTCGCTTAGTCCACTGCAATTCGCCCTTTGATAGTATTCGCCGTCTTACAGTTTGCAGCTTTGTGGTACGCTGGCAACTCCAAGTGGCACCAAGCTCAAACGGGATGAGTAAAAACTTATGTGTAGATTGTACTGCAAACCCGCTGGCAAGTCAATTTCAGAAAATGGCTATGTGATTTTAGTAAGATTTATCGGAAAGTTCACAAGTAAGAAAGAAACAGTAGAAGGGTGAAACGACAGCAATATGAAACTGGTTGTTGCATAATATTATACAATGAGCAGTGAGTCTATGTTTACTTCAAAAACATTCTTCCGGTATGAATTTAGATGAAGTAAAAACAGTCGGATTTTTGGGAATCAGGAGACCTCATGACTGCCCGTCAACTGTACTTGGTCGCTTTGCAGCAATAACAAAGAACAATGAATATATAGCACGCTGATTTTGTTCGGAAGATTAGTTTATTGCCCAGTTAATACGGTTGAATATATGGAAAAGTTTGCTTGAAGGCACGGTCTTAAAAAAACAGACTAACGCCGGTGTGAGTAAATCAAAGAACTGAGAATTAGTAAAGAAAGGTTCAGTGCATCAAGCTGTTTACTGTTTTGCACAGGTTGAATTTAGTGACGAATGGAAAGGACCATTCTTTCGTAGACAGCTCCCAAGCGGCACACTGTGCTAGCTGCGCACGCAATCCGAAGACCGCTTCACGGTTGACAGGGTCAACTAGACAGGGGTTTAATGCTAGCAGAGAGGAGGAATTTGCTTCCTCTAAGCGGTTCTACTCAGAGCACTAACATACATATTTTCAGTTGACAACATAGACAAGCCAGCTTCCGAGCCTTTACACGACAGTCCCTGATAGAAATGCCTTTGG